TACTAACTTGTTCCACAAGTTATAATTTATTATTTTTAATGTATTAATTAAACCTATATGTTAACCCTTCTTTACATAGTTTAGCTCAACTCTTACTGTATTGGGTGCTCCAGTAAAAGTAAAGGGGTTTTATTAAATTATTCCCACTTGTTGTTATTCACTAATCTTTTTTTTTAATTGAGGTAAGATTTACATATAGCAAAACGCTCGAATCTAAATGAAAATTGACTTAAGTGAATATTTACTTGTGGATACACCTGTGTAAAAGCCACCTAGATGAAGATACAGAATATTTTCATCTGGAAAGTTGAAAATATTTTATCTGGAAAGTTGAACTCTGGAAATTCCTTTGTGCCCACTTTAGTAAATAGCTTTCACCACCAAGGTAGTCAGTATCCTGGCTTCTATTGCCAGAGGTTAGTTTTTTCTGTTCTTAAAGTTACTATAATTTTGCAACTGCCTTCTTTTGATCAACAAGATGATTTTGACTTTTATCCATGTTGTTGCATGAATCATAATTTGCTCTTTTTTTTTTACTACTGAAGATTGTGTGAATTTTCCACAATTTGTTTATCCATCCTCCTTTTAATGGAAGTTTGAATGTTTCTAGTATTTGACTTTTGTGAATATAGCTGCCAGAAGCATTCTTATTCAATTCTTTTTGAGGATATATGTCCTAATCTCTCTCGGGGGAGTATGTGTGTAGGGGGTATATAGCTGGATCAAAGGGTATGCACATGTATAACTTTTTTAGGAAACTTCAGATAGTTTTCCAAAGCTCCCACAGCTACACATGAAAGTTCCTGTTGCTCCCCACGTCCTACCTAGTATTTGACATTACTGTTATTTTTAATGGAAATAGCTCTTAGAGTGATCTGGTTGAGGGAAAAAATAAACTGTAGAAAACACAGATTTTAGATGCAGTTAATAGAATAGGATTTCCTGCAACTTTTTGTTTTTTTAATTATAAAATGAATTTTGGAAAATTGATTGAAAGTATTGAAAAAGAATTCCTTTCTCTTTTTTTCCCTCTCTTTTTCACAAACTTTATTTTTTGACACAGATACACTCAGAGCTACATCTTGTCGTTAAATTCTCTCAGGCATGTCCAGCATTCTTCCATTGACCCCCAAGAGACCTAATTAAAAGCCCAGCTGCTGGCCTTTGCAGCAGAAATGATGCACATTTCCAAAAGCACGAGGTTGTCAAAGCTCTAGAACTGACATTGCCTTGCTTCAAAATTTAGATTGATACTCAGTTAATAAAACTAATCAATATTTTCACCGACATGTAAGGAAAACGCAAAGGCTCCCAGAGACAACAATGGCAAGAGGCTAGGACAGTTCTGTTACCATGTTGGAAACAGAGCCATTTTATTTCGTAATGTTTGACAAACACAGTTTGTATCATTTTCTGAGCCAGTGTGTGGTAACTCAGGAATCTTCTCTATGGCATTATCATAAATAACCTGTGTTGTCAGGATGCAAGGAACACTGTTCCTCGGACCTTGTTTAAGCAGTCTCTTTGATTCTGTTGGTTTAGAATAGGCAGAGGTACACCCATGTGAATCACCGAACACATAATTGTTTTTGAAACTGCCTCGCTCTTCCAAGGGGTCAAGAACTAGTCACATTTTCCCTTTATTATCAGTGCCAACCCCAGCTTTTTATTCCTCTGCACAACTCCAAAGCTCAGTGGTGTCAAAATGAGTGTCATTTATGATCAGCATGTCTCCAGGATCAAAGGACTCTTCTACAAAAGGCACTGAAATGTGTACTGTGCCCGTATTCCCCATACACACCAGCCTCATATGATACAATTTTTAACATTTTCTTTCTGACTCACACAAGCACTATGTGCCTCCTGCTCAATCATGTAAAAATCAAGAGACAACATGACTCAGATTTTTAAGTATTTTTACTTTCTTCCAATACACATTTGATACTGAAGTCCCTCTTGCACTTCAGCCAATTGCAGAGGATAAACCAGAATATCTTTTGTGCTAATGGACACTGCACAAGATTTATTACCAGCGAATTCACTTATTCCAAAATGTAACTAAGCCTCCAGATGATTTATTTTAGATCTGGACCTTGCCTGTGGTTAATGGACACAAGGGTAAGAGTAAATGAATGACCCCAGAAGAGCACAATTTGAAATCTAGAATTTATTGTATGTTTCCATAGTAACAGAATGTCACAAATGAAAATAAATTCGGGTTACAGAATTAGCCAAAATGTGATTCTGAAAGCATGTTCAGCATGCTCAGGAGACTGACCTATTTAGTCATGTATGTTTTAAGTCTCTAGTCTTCTTCCTTGTACATCACAGGGCAATGAAAAAGGAGAAATGTGATGCTTTTTGAATGAGATTGAAAAGGTCAAAATATTGCTAGACTCCACAAGAAGAAACTAGAGATACAGTTCTTACAATTTATGATTTTAATAAAGTTAAAAATGGAAAATTTTAAATTCAGAACTTATTAATGTTTGTCACCTGAATGTTAAATACTGTAATTATTTTAATCTGGAATGAAGTATTAGAGAAAGTCACAAAAATTTCTAGGGCACAGTCAGTAAGGAGAAGTAATTTATTTTTTAAAATATGTCTTATCAGAGCTATCACGCAGATTTATTATTGAAAGGTTTATTTAAGACACGCTGGGGAGTTGTTTTAGAGGGCTAGTGGGATGTGCTGACATTGCTGAGTTAATATGGAAATGTTTATTTTATCTTTAAGAGCAATAAGCAGAAAGAAACAAGAAGTAGCACTCATCTACCTACCCACTCTTCCAATCTTTCTTTCAAAAGACATTACTGAACACATACTCTCTTCAAAGTAGAAGACTAATTACCACATATTTTCTAGTAATGACTTACATGTATTCCTTTGCTTGAAGTTCTCTCTTACTTAAATCTCTCAATAAGGTATTAAGTTAGAGCAAATAGAATATCATTCATACATTCAATTTTCCTCAGATAAGATACATGATAATGCATACATTTTTATCTTTGCAAATTGGCCCAAGGCAAAAGCAAGATATCACAAGGACTGAAGCAGAAATACAGATGTATATATGTAAACCCCATGTCTGATCCAGATTTTTCCTGGCTTGTCCCTTTGGTTGATATTTGTATCTTCTTTGATGGGAAGAATATCTAGGCCACTGCAGGTAATTCACCAAGTAAATAATCTACTTTGAAGTGTATTGATTCAACTAGAGAAGAGTAATGTTGGGTGGGGTCAGGAATGGCCAAAGGAAAATTATGAATTAATGGAATATTGTGCTGCACTCTGCTTTACAATGTCTCCTCTGAACCTCAAGAACTCTCACGTGACCTCCTGATGCCCTGGGCTCCCGACTGTTCTCAAGCATTGACTCATGCTATTGACTTTCCCTGGCTTTCAACAGAATGTGAACAAAGGAAAAGTATCTTTAAAAGGAAGATAATCAAAACAACCAGGCGCATTCTTCTGAAGGAAGTGTGTCCTTCTGAGCCACTCATTAATAGAAAAGATTCAAAGGTTTATTTTTCAATAACAGCCTTGGGAGGAGGAGTTCAGTAATTTTGTTAAAGATTTCCCTTTGGCTTAAGATCTCGCAGGATAGTAAAATAGGAATCATTGTCTACAAATATAGTGGTTATAAGGCCTAAATCAATTTTCATTAAATGCTAAATGATGATTATATTTGCATTTTTTTAAATTAACTATTATCTTGCTTTTTTCCCCCTTCCTATTCATCATTTAAGAAAAATTATTTCCTTCAATTCTTTTGTGTCTATGGGTAATTTCTATTACAACTATATTTAAGAATGAGAATTAATGGGGCTTGTTAAGGACTATTATTTTCTATTTTGAATAATGCACCCTGTACAGATGGACAAAGTAATAACATAAACAAACAGCTATAGAGCAGTTGACCCAGTTATTTTTAGCTTTAAAAATTGTGCTAAAGCAGATCCAGAATACACCAGTTTGGTGTTCATTTATTACTACTCCAGGCCTATAATTATTGACTATTCAACTAAGTTGTAAATCATCTGAGGGTGTAGACTCTATGCATTTGTAGCTTATTGGCCTTAGCACTTAGCAAATTTCTAAGAGGGAAATTAGAAAAAAGGGAGGGTAGACTGTTTTCTTAAATGTCTACTATGTGACAGGCATCACGCTGGATACTTTCCAGAAATGATCTCCTTCAATCCTTTCAGCATCCCTGCAGCAACAATAGTATTGTTAACATTCATCGTTACTGATAAGAAGTCAGTATCTCTAGTACCGAGCATGGTGCTTCGTGCAAGCTGATCACTTAGCAGTTGTCGAGGAATGACCATGTGTCAGTCAAGTGTTCTGATTTGTGAGAATTGAAAACTCAATCCTGCTAGTGTAAGGACAAAAGGAATGTATTAAAGGATGTCAGTAAGCACACGGACTCTTCCCCAGGACAGGGTAGAAAGCTGGGTTTGGAATTCTCACAGCAAGAAATGATGTCCAAAAATTACACAGCAAAACTAGTCCTTCGAAGACACTCCTGCTAGGCGCGCACACACACACACCCCAGTACTTGTGTTTCTGGCATCCAATCTGTTCACTACCACTGGAAGTGAGTTGGAGCTACTCCACCACTGCTGTGTTGCCAAGATTGGACAGACTCAGCCTTTGTGTGTCATCAGATCTGACATTAGAGTCTGATATAATGTGTCAGTTGGAGGAGCCGATAGGAAAGTGTCCAACCAGGCACTGTCGAAAGTGAAAGGGCCCTGCTAAGAACTACGCTAGGATAACAAGCCTAAACTGGAATGCATGGTCACCCTCTACTAACTGTGCTCTAACTGCGAAGGAGGCTTGGGAAGCACGTTGGCAGCCTCAGTGAGAGGACGTGATCTCTCTAGTCAGCACTTTCAGTATAGGGATTGTCAGAAGAGGTTCTAAGGCTGGATGGGACAGAGAAGGTCAAATGTCCACTCCTGAGTGAACAACGGGATGTTAGATCACTGTCTAAGGTAATACAGTGAGCGAGGTCTGCCTCACTCTAAAGCTTGTCCTTTCATAGTGCCTAGTAGGACATTTCTCAGGTTGAGGGATGTCAGAACCTCCTAACTAGCGTTGTAAACACACAGAGTGCTAGGCCCCACCCTAAACTATTGAGCCCAGATTGGGGGTGAATTGTGCTCTGTCCGGCATCTGAAATTTTTAATATCTTCTGGGGGAGATCAGTTTGAAAGGAGATACTTGTGGAAATAAGGCCATGAGTACCTTTTACATACTTCATGGTTTCCTGAACTATTCCATTGTGCAAGGCAGATTTGACTAGATGCATTCTATAGATTTATGGGAGCTAGAAGAAAGCCTGCTTAATGTGGTAAATGGCTATAGAATAGAATTATAACTTTTTAAATGGTTGTGCTTAATTTCATTTATTATTATCATTAATTGGCAAGTTCCAGGAGTCTCAGAGGCACTTAGAAAAATCCCTCATACTACACATGAGAAGGCAGAGAGAGAGGATTTCAGATAACATACCTTTTCCTTTCTTGCTGATGGCAGTGAATGCTCAGGACAATGAAGATCACGTCCCACTCCACTTCTGTTCTCGCTTCGGGCACCACGATATTGTGAAGTACCTGCTCCAGACCGATTTAGAAGTTCAGCCACATGTTGTTAATATCTATGGAGACACCCCTTTGCACCTGTGAGTATTATGTGCAGTTCCACGGGGACTCCAGTTATACTGTGTATACCTTCTTACTATGCTCAAAATATTTTCTTTACCTCTAGGGCATGCTACAATGGCAAATTTGAAGTCGCCAAGGAAATCATCCAAATATCAGGAATAGAAAGTCTGACTAAAGAAAACATCTTCAGTGAAACAGCTTTTCACAGGTAAAAGAATATTTAAGTGCAATGGCCACTAAAATTAGCTAACACCCTACGACACCTGCAGTTGTGTACATGAAGCAAGAATGAATAGTGGCAGATGTTACAATCGGAGAGCAAGAGCAGAGGGGAGACACAGGACAAGGAGCCTAAGCTAGCTGCACAGAAGTAAAGGTAGAGGCAGCTGCTGCAGTCAGTACAACAGATGGAGCCAGAGCCAGATGCTGCCTTCCTGGCAGCAGCCACAGAGACAGGGACTGATGTTGCCAAGGCAACAAGCATATCAACATCTGTAAGCATATTGCTTCTATTCCACTTCAGTCTGCAGAAAGCTGCCAAAAGGGGCAGTGCCCATAATCCTCCTCCGACAAGAATCTCATTACCAGAATTCATCAGCATCAAATGTGACATTTTTTCCTTACCACTTAAACCTTATGTGCAAATGTATCTACCTATCTAAGACAGCCATCTGTCAGCCTGTAAAAGCTTAGTCAGGGTGGCCACTGAGATACCTAAGAAGGCATTCGCTCCTTGCTAGGAATCCATGAGAGTCTTTTACAGTGTGCTCTGGAAAAGCACACTGAAGGATCAGCTGGGTTTGGAAAAGTTGCAACAAAGAAAGAGAGAGGCAGAGACAGAGAGACAGGGAGAGAGAGAGAGAATGGTAGAAAGGAAGAAAGAGGGAAAATTTTCCTAGAAGCTCAGAGGCATGACTCCCTAAAATGTCCAAGAAGAAGGAAGATGTTTCATCAAATTTAAAACTCTCAACAGATTGTTGTTTTGCTTATAAAAGTAAAAATATAGTAAACCTTGAATGTAAGACCATTACCCATCATATTACAGATTTTTTGGCTAGTTTGCAACCTCTAAAAATGTAGTCAAGACTAATATGTTGTTTATGCAGTGTTTGCACTGCCCTGGTAAATAATAGAAATGAGAGTCTCATTTTTTTTTTCATACTGAACTAAAATTAAGCCTGTGCTTCTGTATCAGGCATCAACTTGTCAAATTTTACTTGGATTTCCATATTTTTCTTATCAACCAAAAAGGTCAGCCAAAAGGGAGATGAAGTAAAGCTACCACTTTTGGAGCAGCAAATATATGCTGGATGATTGGCATCCATTATCGCATTTACTCCTCATAACCATTTTATGAAGCTGGATTTACTATCCCTCTTTTGCCAATGAGAAAATTGAGGCTCCAGAAAACTAAGTAACTTGCCAAAGAGTCTTATGGCTAGAAAATCATGTATTAAACACCCAACTAATTCCACATCCTATTTATATACATCTTCATGTTCTAGTACCAAAATATTTTGTCTGTTTTCTATGCACTCCGTTACAGAACAAATGCAAGAACTCTTCAGATCATGCCCCCAGTCAAAGTGGATGAGTGGAATTCGTCCCTGAAGGGGACGATTGGAAGAACTGATATGTGCAGTTACTAAGTGTCCTCTTTCCCCATTAGGTCATGCTCGTTAAGGCTGACCCCTCAGGCTAGTTTTCAAATCTTTTTACTACTCTGTGCACACAAATTGAAACCAACTATAATCAGAGGGTTATGGTCACCTCCAGAAGATTGTCTATATGAGAGGATTAGTGAAATGAAGTTCTGAAGGGTGGAAATCCAAGGTCAAGGTGTCAGATTTGGTTTCTTCTGATGCCTTTCTCTTCGGATTGCTGATGGCTACCTTCTCCTGTCTTCACTGGATTGTCCCTCTGTGCATCTGTGTACTAACTTCCCTTCGCATTAGGATACCAGTCACATTTGATTAGGGCTCACCCTAATCATTCCATTTTAACTTAATTACCTCTGTAAATTGTACCTCTTTAAAATATAGTCACATTGTAAGGTTATGGGACTGAGGGCTTCAACCTATTAATTTGAGGGACAAACATTCAGCCCATAACAGAGGTTCTCTGATTTCCCTATATTGTATTTTTCCAGTGCTTGTACCTATGGTAAGAGCATTGACCTGGTTAAATTTCTTCTTGATCAGAATGTCATAAGCGTCAACCACCAAGGAAGGGATGGGCACACAGGTAAGACTGTGATGAGAGCGTCACCAGTTTCTGATGCATAGCAGTGCTCAAGAATAGTGGTGTGCTCAAAGGGCGGGGGTGGGGGTGTCAGTGGGAGTAGTCAGCCCCAATGAGGAGGAATATTTTATCAGTGACATGGTTTAGAATTGATAGTGCATGGTGACAATAAAAAGCAGAGTGACTTCTGGTCCGTTTCATCATTGTGCTAAATTGTCTATAGTCTGTGCATCCACGATGGTCTTTACCAGGAACAGACTGACCACACTGCCTTGCCCTTGGTTCGCTGCTCAAGAAAAACACGAGTTTGTGGTCTTTGTTCTTTGATTTGTACAAAGATGCTAACATTTCTTCTCATAATTGCAGTGGATGTAGAAATACTAGAAATTGTATTAAGCAAAAAGTAGCTATATAGAAGATCAGCTAGAATAGTATACTTCTTTTCCCTAAAGAATGTCTTGTTTGCTCAAAGATAGAATTAATTATTTGTCCAAGAAATCAAGCCTCGCTTTATATGTCTGGCAACAATGTTATTATGTGGTAATGACTGTCTTTTGAAAATGGGGGTTCAGTTTTCCTCTTTTCTCCTTTCACACTTTTCCTGCTACTCTATTATAGGATTGCACTCTGCTTGCTACCATGGTCACATTCGCTTGGTTCAGTTCCTCCTGGATAATGGAGCTGATATGAATCTGGTAGCTTGTGATCCGAGCAGGTCTAGTGGTGAAAAAGATGAGCAGACATGTTTGATGTGGGCTTATGAAAGAGGTATGTTTTTAATCATTGCATCTCTGCGGTGATAACATTGAACTGTGTGCACAGATTATATCCAAACATCAATAAGTTTTTTGCTTGCATGACTTGTACCCTCCCATTTCCTCTAGAGATTGTATCTGAGTAACTGGGGACTTGGATCAAAGAGTACAGTAGACCATCAGTAGGGAAGGCAACTCCTGGGCTGCAGGTGAGCTGAAGGTGTTCTTGGCATTGACATTTTGAGACGAGAAGGAGCTATCACAGTTCTAGGCACTGGAGAAACAAATTGTGATAGGTAATGATGGTTACTTCCTTAGAGTAAATGTCTTTACCTCTTAGATAGAAGTCTTTACCTCTTAGAAGAACCTTGATGTGAATTCAAAATGTTTACAAACAAACATAGTGCAAAGAAAGAAAGGGAATATTTATCAGCTCTAACCCCGCTAACAATGCCTGCAATAGAAGCAGGACCAGAGCCAATCTTTAGTGCTTAAGTATGAATTTACTTGAGCTCAAAGTGGTGAAAACTTGGGCTCTGACATGAGAACACCTGGGTTTAGATCAAGCCGTGTTGTTTGATCTTAGGCAAGTTTATTTCTTCTTGCTGAACTTGAGTTGCTTCATCAGAAAAATGAGGGCAATACCAACTCTTACTTCATAAGACTGTAAAGAACAAATGAGATAGTGTATGCAAATTTCTTACAATAGTGGCCGGCACAAAATAAATACCTGATAACTGGCATTTCAGCAGTAATAGCAGTAGTTCAGAAATAAGTATTATTAATAATAAGCTCTTTATTTTAAGGGAAAGGAAACCAGAGACAATCAGAAGGTAAAACAGCATCTTTATCACTGTTACTAAGCTATGTCACACCTTTAAGCAAGCTCTCCATAAACACAGAAACTCCAACAGAATTTAAATCTTCAGGTGACATGGAGCAGTATGCATTGCCATTGAAATCAGAGAGCTGCAACTACACGTGCTAAAATATATCAGACTTTGATGCCTGTGTTGTCTTATTAGGAAGTTTAAAGTATGTGAAGAAGTATTCTTATCTCTTTAAATGCTAGAATCTTAGAAGATCGTACTTAAAAGGAGTAATTACTACACTGGAAGATTTCTTAGGCTACCAAGCTGATCTAAAAGGTTTTCTGCCTGCAGTAGGACATGAAAGTCCATTAATGAAAGGAGAGATGAAGTGTGATGGATAGAAATAGAGAGCTAAGTAGACAAGGAAAAAGAAAAAAACATACAGGTCTGAAGACTGCCAGTGAAGAAATGATACAGGAGTTACTTTACTAGAGACAGTGAACAGACATGGAATAGCAAGGAATGAGCTAGATACAGGCCTGTTACATTTTTTGCTTTTTACTTGAGTATTGTATAAACACACACACACACACACACACACACACACACACTTTGCACATTATAGCTGAATGAGTTTTTGTAAACAGAATTCACTCAGCATCCTAATGAAGAAACTGAGCTCGGTCGGTCAGCACCCAAAAGCCCCACTTATGTTGTCTTCCAGTCACTCCCCAAAGAGGGCACTGCGTTCTTGGGGCACAGACTACCTTTGCCTCTTTCTGTACTTTATATAAATGAAATGTTGTGGTATGTGTGTCTTTCTGTCTGGCCTCTTTGGACCAACAGTTTGTGAGATTCATTCATATTGTTGCAGGTAGTTGTAGATCGCTCATTCTTGCGTGGTATTATGTTTTTGATTATGTCATGATTTATTTATTCATTCTACGGTTTCAGGGCACTTGGATCATTTTCAGTTGGGGATTACTAGAAATACTGTTTGTAATAACCATTCACGTGCATATCTTCTGATGAATATCCGTATGCATTTCTGTGACACATACATGCCTTCTAGTCTATATAAAAGAAAGTCCAGGTGGTTTTATAGTTGCGTATCAGTTGGAAAATCTTAACATATTCTGAAGCCTCAGGAGGCCTTGCTAAGTTCTAGTTACATTGCATTTATCCAAGTGATGCTCAGACAGTGTCTCTCAAGAAATCTGAGTTTCAGAGAAAGACTGTTTATAAAGCATTAGTCTTCCGGAAGACAGCTCAGAAGTAGCTGCTACAGCTTGCTCTTCACAGGGGTTGGCTTTGTTTGTTTTTAGTTGATTGAGAGTGATAGTTGAAAACTGGTTTTACTTTTGTGTGTGTGTGTGTGGAATTCCACACTTTATAAAACAGTAAATCGTTGTATAAGCTACTAAGACTTCCTACCAGACGGCAACAACAGAAATCCTTTGGCTTAGAGGACTTACCCGCTGGTCTCTGCAACATATGCCATGCTTGTCGCCCTTATTTGTTCAGCTAATGTGCCAGGCATCAGTGCCGCATTTCATTATTACTATGAATTTTAACAAATTGAGTGTTACTACTCAGGAGACAGATGGATGTTTTGCATATGTTCTAGGACAGAGCAAGTCAAACCAACGAAATAAAATTGTTGCTGTTTTCTCTTGCTAGAGAAATGTTGCATTGTTTCCCTGTGTTGAGGGAGGATTGAAATGACCTTGTTAAAATGTTGCCAGCAGGGCACTGTCTCTATTTCCCTTAGATAAATAAATGCTTTTCTTTCTCCTTCAGAGAGGGAGCCACCAAATTAACTGATGTGGCATACTAAGGATTTTCCTGGGCAACTTGGAAATGGAGTTGAGGAAGCACTGAAACCTTACTTGGAGTTTCTTTCTTTATGGAATAGAGATGCTGTAGACATGGCCCTGTCACGGTTTACCCTGTGCACTCCCCAATCCTAGGTGAGAGAGACCAGAGGGAGCTTCACAACCAGGGCCAGCTGATTTGAAAAGGAATACTTTAGGATGTGCCCCGAAGCTCATCCTAGTCTACCCTCTAAACAGAAAACCTAAAGGCTTTCTTAACAGCACTCATCTTTGAATGATTCTAAGGCAATTTTTTTCCATCCCAAACAAAATGTTTAGCTGACCCTAGCAGCTTTTCTGATGCAGCACGTTCAGAAGTGCTTTGGAATTCTCAAAGAGTTATCTACTCTCTTTTGAAATACCGTTGGAAAAGAGTTTCATCACTATGGCTCCCTGTGGGATCAGGTATGAAGAATACTTCCCATTTACATAGCCTTTTTAACCCAAAGATATCAAGTCATTCCTGGGAATAATTTTCCTGGTGACCCTGCTTCTATGCAGAAGCCTGCTGGTGAAGTTTCAATATGTTTCTGCTAGACTGCTCAGAGCTCCAATTTCACAATACTTAGAGCGTTCCCTCTGCCCAGTCTGTCCTCCCTCTTCTTTTCTGCTATTCCGTCTGAGAGTAGCCATAGCTGTCTCACTCACTTGGATTTATTCTGCCCTTTCCCTGGGGTACAAAGGACTTGTATGAATCAATTTAAATTGGCCAAAAGAAATAGCCAGCAGCCTGCTTATGTTCAAATCCTCTGCCCTAATCACCAGTATGGAAAACCCACTGAAAAGATCTACACGTAATCTTACATCCATTGCATTAAAGATGAAACTGCCAGATTGAAAAGATCTCAGCCAATTAGAATTGAACACATAGCTCAATAGTGTGTCTGGCAGTTAGATTTGAAAAGGCTGCCTTTGATAAAGAAAAGCACTCCTTTATGTCAGGCTGTTTAGGGTCAGAAAATAACCCAAACTAGAAACAGAACTAAAAACTTCTTATTTGCTTCAGTACTGACACCAGTTAAAGTAACTTACAGAGTCTCCTATCCCAATATCTAATTACCCAGAATACAATATTTGTATACAGCAGAACCACTCTAATTCACAGTGACAGGGAGCTGCAGTTGGAGAATTAGTGAGTAAGTGAGCAAAAACAATAAAAATCAGGGCTTCTGTACCATGATATATACTTTGTTCATTCCTTTTGACAAGTGTAGTGTGGTGTGAATTATTTATAGTGAACGCACCATAGTGTATTCTCTAAAAGTAATGAACTCTTACAGTTGTGAGTTTCTACAGTTTTCAGCCAGTAAAAAATAACTAAGTGATAAGGGTGAGGGAGGAGTAGAAGGAAGAAGAGGTGGCTTCATTAAATCTTCTGATAAATCTTCATGGATTATAAACTCCCAAGCTTCTCCTGTATTGACGTCTTACCTGTTGGGAGCTTAGTTACTTAGTTTAATGAACCTAGTTTAGTGTGCTAGAGGGGAGTAGAGGGGAACAAACAAAAGATTTAGACGGTATTTCAAAATCTGTGTGTAATTTTATGTATTTTGATTACCTTTCTACATGGTAATTGATGCTCTCTTTTAAAAACAAATAAAATAATACTAATTCTTTTTAGAATGGGAAGAACTTTTATTCTTATAGGGAGATAACACAAAAATATTTTTGAGACATAACTGTGTAATAAGCTACACACATTAGCATAGTAAAAGAGAACTTCCATTTATTGATCACCTATTACATATGCATATGAATATGTATATGATTTAATTATCAAAAATAACCCTTTAAATTGGTACTACCTTTCGACTACTGATCAAAAGTTTGAGACTTAGAGGCACCAAGTCACACTAGCCCCACACACAGCTCTTAAGTGGAGAATTGGTACCACACAGAGGTCTGTCTCATTGCAGAGTTCAGCCTCTTACCACCTCGCTCTAGAATCAGATAGATCTAAGTCCCAATTCCATCCTTACTGCTTAATGACCTTGGGCAAGTTATTCAACCTCTGTAAGCCTTAATCTTCAAATTTAAAATCAGTAAATTAATAACCACTTTACAGAATTCTGTTTTGGGTTAGGGATAAGGTGAAAATGTCTTTAACATAGATTCTCAATAAAAATGGCAGTATTTGTTATTAAATGCCTACCAGAGATCCCATCATGCTCCACATAACTCCAAATCTCACAGTCTTTCCTAATTTACAACATGCGTTAATCTCCAGTAAGAAATATGACCATACTGACATATTAGGATAATGGGCACCCTCTATAAACCTCCTAGTGAAGCATTTTGTTCCTGCCAAACACCACTGGACGAGCCCA